TGGCCAGCCTGAGCAAACTGAGGTGGATCATCCTCTCCATCTAGGATGTTATGCTGGACCTGACGGGCATGACCCTGAGCGCCGCTCGCTAGGTTACACGCATGTGGCGCAGCGTGATGCACCAAGCTCGTCGACGCAGGCGGCGGCTAGCTCGGCCACCTTTGTCGTAACTCCTCACCATGCTCCTACGCATACGCTAGGGCCTACACACATGTGTCCAGGGGGTGTGAGTCTGTAGAGACTCCACTACCTTCGATGGCTGTCCCGGGGCATCCGCCAAAGTGCACTCCCAGGACAGAGGGTGGCCAGGTGCCATGACATCCCCGATGCTGGAGCCGTCGCTTTCGACCTCGTCATCGATGAGGTCATGGAAGGAGGTGGGAGCATAGCCCGCCATCCCCACGAACTCGGACATGAGAGGGGGCGGTGTTAGCATCCTTCCGAGCCCCCCGTGCGCACGCGTCCATGGGGGACGCAAAGCCATAGGGGGGCCGGTTGCATGGCGGTCACGGTGGGGCCAACGGGGTCCCTTCAGAGAGTTGACGGAAGGTGTTAAACAGTGAGTAAAGAACAATATGTACATCACTCACCGTGGGGTTTGAGCCCAGCATGGTCTCAAGGTGAACCGCGGGTGTCTCAACATTGAGGCCGTTGAGTGGCCCGGGGCCGGTGGTGGCCACTCCTCCTCCAGTGGATGCCAAGACAAGCGCATACTCGCAGAGGCGGAGTACGTCGAGCTGGTCGGTGATGAAGTCCAGACTCCTGAAGAGGAAGGTCTAGAGTGGCACGAAGACGGGAGGAGCCCACATCCCAGCAAGTGGGAGCATGGGAAACTCCAGTGAGCTAAAGCGAATCATATCGCTCGAGCCTTCCATGCCAAAGATGGTGGAAAGGTGGGCCATCTGATGACTAAAAGTGTGAACGCACGACGTCTCTCCCCACGGACGGTGCCAATTGTCGGTGTGAAATGTGGCCGACAAGTAAATATTTATAGTTTTGTCGTGCGCTATGATCGGATGTGGTCTAGCATGCGATGACACATGATTTATACTGGTTTAGGCAACGCGCCCTACATCCAGTTTTAGTTGGGCGGTGACTTTATTCCTGAGCCTAGGTGCTCGAAGTTTGCTATGGGGTTACAAATGAGTAAGGAATGAGAAGGGGGTGTTAGAGTCCTGGTCGGAGTCAAAACCGAGTGAAAGAGAGTGATGGATGCTCAAACATGCGCTAAGTAATGGAGCATATGCTCTGTGTGTCTGAGCTTATCAGCTGTTGAGAGCGTATAGACTGTGTGGCTGGGTTGTTGAGCTGTCGTCCTCAGAGGAGAGAGCGCATCCCCTTTTATAGATAAAGGGAATGGCCTTACAAGTTAAAGATGGAAAGGGAGAGAGTGTGTACGGGTGCTACCTTGTCTTGTCGCCCACGTCGTCTGGTACGGCACGCCATCGCCCACCTTACTGTTCATGACCTACTGTACCTGGCAGGCTGCACAGTGTTCGTCCACCTTACTGCTCATAACCTGGCAGGCTGCACAGTGTTCTTCTGGGACGGCAAACAACGGCACCCACAATACTATTTGTGCTCTGCCGCGTCTGGCAGGTTGTATAGTGTTCGTCTGACATGGCCCAATGGCACCGTCCTGCAGGTGCACAGGGCATGGCAGGGTACGGTCCTTGGTATTGCTGTTGACTTGAGTGCCTTACCTTATCTGTTCCGCCTGCTCCCCGGGCCCACACCGAGCAGGCATCCTGGTTGGTCATTCCCAATCGGCCCCGACCGTGTCGTTGGGAAAGAGATGTGAGCAAAGGTCTGGCATATCCTCGGTCATAGGAACGGGGTCGGATTTGGACTACGGTCCCACCACGGTCAGGCCTTCCGGTCGGGGATCCGGCCAGGTCTCCTACCCGGAGGTGCCGGTCGAGGACCGGATCGTGGTCTTGGCCTATCATTGTGTATCTGGGCTGGCCCAGACACGCGTTGTCGTTGCGCCGTCTGCTGGGCCAAGTATTGTAGGGAAGCGGGTCCATTGGGGACCCCGGGTTTATGAACCCGACAAGGTGACTACAGCAGGTGGCTACGTCAGCATCTAGAAGAGGGGGAGGGGCGGCGGATGTCCAGCCGGTGCCGGGAGGAGGAGACACCGAGGCGAAGGTGAGGCAGCAAAAAAGTGAGGACAGAGATGCAACACCCGATCTACTTTTAAAACATCCGGATGCAACACTTGCACACATACGTCTGAAGGCAGATGAAACACATGAAACATGCATCTAAACACTAGCTGCAGCACCAGATTTACTTTTAAAATATCCAGATGAAACACTTGCAACATACGTACCAAACAACTGAAACACTCAAAACATGCATATGAAACACTTGCAAAAAATACCTGAAAACACTTGAAAACTATTTGCAAACATACGCAACATTCAGATAAAACACTTTTCAACATGTGTGAAAACATATGCAACATCTAGATGAAACGCTTGCAAACATACGTCAGGAAAACAAGATGAAACATTTGGAACATACACTTGAAACATACGTGTATAGCCACAACAACATGTGCAACATTCTGATCTACTTTTGCAACATCAAGATGAAACATCTGAAACATACTCTTGCAATATGGGCTTTGCTTGGACGAATGGAGGCACGCCCGCGTGGAGGTCGACGACGGCGCATGGAGCTCGCTATGTGGCAGTGGCACGGGCAACTCATCGGCGGGCACGGCGTCAGTCCTCCTCGCCTGCTTAGTGGAGCATCCATTGTGGAGGCTTGCCGGCTCGGTGGAGGTGGCCGCGGTTCGTGCCAGCTCGGTGTAGGTGGTCGCGGCGAGGAGGCAGCGCGGAGGAGGCGGGCGAGGTAGACTGGGCCCGGTGGGGAATGCGGCGTGGGAGGAGGCAGCGCGGAGGAGGCCGCATGCGTTGGGGCACGCGCGCTGCGGGGGACCGGCAGCGGCGAGGCAGAGTGGGGTGGGCGGATGGGCATGGCGATGCGGGAGGAAACGGCGCAACGAGCATTTGGGCGCACAGACGGGATGAGCGGATAGGGTCGCTAAGCGATCGGCGCGTGCGGGAGTGAGTGGAGGGAGACGTCTGTCCATCCGGACGTCTTAATTGTATCATTAGCGAAAAATTAAACCAGCCATCCCTGAAAATTAAACAAGTACCACAATACTGACCAATAGCAGCTGTCCCTGAAAATAAAACCAACATCACAATACTGACTGATAGCTTAACCCAGACAGATTGTTCAATAAAAAATGATGATAGATTCCACCATAATTTGTTTTATTAATTGTTGCGCTTTTGAGCGAACACCTGGCTCTGTTCGACTACTCGTAAAGCCGCATGTGCTGATTTGTATGGCTGATTTATTGAGGGAGAAAAATACTGTATAATAGCTTATAAACCGGTTTATAATAGCAGCCGAACACTCCCATAATATTTTCTAAAACTGAATTTAATCGATGTCCAGTTTATTCATGATGAATGGTCACACGGTGACGGGCATCCTTTCCATAGCAAACTCCAGAAGCACGGCGGGACAGTTGGCCTTGATCTTCTCGTACCCTTCGGTGTCCATGACTGCCTTCAGATTCCCCGGAACAGCCATGAACGCCAAGCACGCATCCTTGAGCGCACGGCAACCATGCTGCTCGGCCACCACCAAGGTGCTGGCCACGGTGTTGACTTCGATGCGCTTGCACAGCATCTCCTCGCACATGAGCTTCAGCCTCCCGAGCTCGTACCGGTGCGCCGCGGCGAGCAAGCTCTGGGCCATGGCGACGACGTCGCGTTCCGCCATCTCGGGCAGCGCGTCGGTGTACACGAAGTGGAGCATCGCCTCGAACACCTTGGGCTCCACGCCCTGGATCTCCATGCGACGACGCCGGACACTGCCGCCGCCGACGACGACGACAGGCGATTTGTCCTTAGACGTGGCGAGCAGCTCGGCCTCGAACACCGGCGACCGCGCCGCCAGCAGCCACGCGTGCGCATCGTACGTCGTCGCCTCCCCGCCGCTGCCCACGGTTATCGCCACGTCCGCCCCGTGTTTCTTCGAAAGGAGGCTGCCGAGGTGCACGTGCAGGTCGGACGGCGGCACAGCGACACCCGCCGGAGCGTCCGCGGCGGCGGCGACGTCGGCGGCGGCGGCGCTCAAGGCCCAGTCTTTGATGACGGTGATGTCGCACTGGACGACGAAGCGGTCGTCCCTGAGGCACCCGGAGTACTGCAGGTCCTCCCAGCGGATGAAGTCCCTGAACCCCAGCTTGCGCGCCGACTCGCCGTTGAACCAGCACACCTCCGCCGAGCGGGTGTACGCCGGCACGGGGTCCCCGGCCGGGTCCAGCAGGCTGAAGCTGAAGTGGAGCGGGTCCGTCCGCTGGTGGCCGCCGTAGACGAGCTGGAGGGAGATGTACTTGTCCCTCCAGCTGTTGCCGTAGCCGTAGGGCGCGTACGTGATCTGCCACGTGTACCCCGCCGCCTCGAAGGCCTTAGACGTCGCCGACCAGTCCCTCGGCAGCTTCGTCGACGGCGCGCACCCGTCAATGGTCAGCCTGTGGCGCCCGCTCACTTCGCGGCATATGATGGTGGAGGCCGACGAGCGCGAGAGGCGGCGCCCCGCGGCGGACAGCAAAGCGGCGACGGTCGCCATGGCATGCGAAGCAGATAGCTAGTAGATCGATCTGGGAGACCAGGAGGACGCCGCTCTATATATGTTCATTTTTTATATATACGGCAAAAAAACAGCAAAGAGGAGTATCTGTTTGCACAAATGATTTGTATGGATTTTGTGCAGATATATGTTAACAGTTTGTTACGCTTTGTTTAGATTTATACTGAAAAAGATTGGGAATATTCACGTACTGATTCATTCCCATCTCATCTGCGAAATATCGGAAACCACGACGTGGCATTTTTTGCATATATATGCAACAAACATTCACACCAGACCATACGTCCTCCAGGTCTCCTCGACCAATCTGCAAGGTAGCCATGGCGGTGGCCACGCCACTGCTGTCCGCCGCCGCCCGCCGGTGCACGCGGTCGGCGTCCACCATCGGCAGGCGCGAGGTGATGGACTGCCACAGCCTCACCATGGACGGGTGCACGACGTTCAAGAAGATCCCCAAGACCTGGTTCTCGACGTCGGAGTCGTTCGTGGCGGCGGGCCACATTTGGCGGATCAGGTTCTACCCCAAGGGCGAGTGCTGCTTCTGGAGGCACGGCTACATGGCCCTCTACCTCGAGCTCGTCACCGCCGCCAACGCCTACTACCGAGCCACCGACCCCGTCGACTTCAAGTTCACCTTGCTCGATCTGGCGGGGAACCCCGTGCCGCAGTACAGCCGCGCCATGGCGGCGCACGTCTTCAGCGCCGAGTCCAGGCGCGTGGGGTTCAACGACTTCATCAGGTGGAAAGATCTGGAGAGGTCCGGCTGCCTCAAGGACGACCGCTTCACCGTCCGCTGCGACATCACGGTCTTCCAAGATTACTGGACCGCCGACAGCGATGGCGACGGCGGCCACGCTGTGGCTCCGGTGCGGCAGGTGACCGTGCCGCCGTCCAACCTGCACGAGCACCTCGGCGATCTTCTGGGGAAGAAGCAAGGAGCAGACGTCACGGTCGACGTCGCCGGGGAGGCCTTCGACGCCCACGGCTGGCTTCTCGCGGCGCGGTCACCGGTGTTCGAGGCCGAGCTCCTCGCCGCGGCCAAGGAGAAAGCACCTGGCGGCGGTGGCGCCGCCCGTCGTCGCGTGGTGGTGGAAGGCATGGAGCCACGGGTGTTCAAGGCGATGCTTCACTTCATGTACACCGACGTGCTGCCGGAGATGGAGAAGCAGGAGGAGACCGTGGCCATGTCCCAGGGCTTACTCGCGGCGGCGCACAGGTACGAGCTCCAGAGGCTCAAGCTCATTTGCGAGGAGACACTGTGCAGGCGGATCGACGTGGACACGGCGGCGAGCACCCTGGCGGTGGCGGAGCAGCACGGTTGCCGTGCTCTCAAGGCTGCGTGCCTGGGATTCATGGCGCGTCCTGGGAATCTCAATGCCGTCATGGAGACGAAAGGGTTTGAGAAGATAAAGGCCAACTGCCCGGCTGTTATGCTGGACCTCATCATGAAGCAAGTAGCAGCTCGAATGGCCATACATCAACCGTAATTCCTTCCATTATGATATTGTTAGTTTTGAATTATTGTTAAGCTAAAGGTTTTGGTTTATGTTGATGAATGGATCAAGTTTTCTGCCAGACCAATAATGATAATTAAATTCATGTCATTTTATTTAGGTCCCGTTCGCGTGCCCTTAAACCCGGCTCGATCCGCTTCTTTTTTCATCTGGAACAGCGTTTTTCTCTCACAAATTCCTCCAGCATTCCTCCAAACTATTCAAATTCCTCCAGAATTACTCCAAGCGAACATGCCCTTACTCTCTTCCTGCATGTCGAGAAAACTGTCATTATGTCATCTATGTTCTCCGTACACTTTAGATTGAACTCTGCAGATTGCGAATTTATATACCTCCAGGCTCCTGGATGCCGGGATACATATGTATGCTCCACGAGGGAAAAAATTGGGTGATTTTTTTTCCCTACAGGATGCCAGGAACAGAAACGTAGACCATGATCTTTGTAAAAATGTGAAACTGGTTTTATATTTTTCTAAGTTAAAATATTTTTTTTATGATTTATAAGAACGAATAGATTTTAGTGTTTTCAAAGGCATGCTTGGTTAGGTTTTAATTTTTGCCTAAGTGTCTGTTTAGTTTCCAAAATTTTATAAAATTTTTCAAGATTCCCCGTCATATCGAATCTTTAGACGCATGCATGAATCATTAAATATAAATAAAAAATAAAACTAATTACACAGTTTAGACAAAATTCACGAGACGAATCTTTTAAGCCTAATTAAACTATGATTGGACACTAATTGCCAAATAACAATGAAAGTGCTACAATACTATTTTCCAAAAAAATTTGCCAACTAAACAAGGCCTAACCAAAATCATGGCAAGCCTACTGTTTCGTAAATAATCAATAGGCATTGTACGTAGAGAACAATTCAAAGCTCACTACCATATACGGTGTCCCTGCTTTACCTGCTATCCAAATTAAGTACTAATTTTGAATGCGAGGTTGGGTAACAAAACTACAAGCTAAAAGTAAAGAATGAACTAAGTTAACTAGCTGGTAGCACTGTCCTACTTGTCTATTCGTTTCAACTATTCTACTTCCTCTGTTCTAAATTATAGTATATTCATTTTGTTATGCATCTACATATAATATATGTCTAGATACATAACAAAATGGATGTATCAAAACAGTAAAAGCGGCTTATAATTTGAAATGGAGCAAGTATTTGTTTGCTTGCTTGAAAAAGGGAATATATTGGGTACTAGTTGTTCCAACTAACCAACAAGCACCAGATTGAGCTGGCCAAAAGCCTCCATATTGTATATATATCTTTTTTGGTCTTTTGAAGCTGTCCAAGACAACTGAACTATATCTGTTTCAAGCTTAGTTCACTATCATTCTCACAGGAAAACAAAGTCCTATAGCGGAAATATTAACATAGTTTTGATGCACAATTCATGTCCATGCCACAACTAGGCACTACTAAAAAAACGATTTGTCGCAACGCCTCCCTTTCTTTGTAGGGGCAACTCTATATTGAGCCGCCCCTACAAATGGTTGCTAAATGAGCCGCCCGTACAAATAGATTTGTAGGGGCGGGCGGTGTTATCAGCCGCCCTTACAAATGGCCCGATTTGTAGGGACGGCTCTATATCCAGCCGTCCCTACAAATTGGATTTGTAGGGGTGGCTCAATATTGAAGTGCCCCTACAAATAGACGTCGAGTATTAAAAATTAAGCACTAAAATTTAAATTTTGTAAACGACCTCGGATGGAGAAACAATCAAAATAAAAGTTGTAGATCTCGAAAAGTTATGAAACTTTGTAGATGATAACTTTCTCATTTAAAATCATCTTGTCATGTAAAACTACGTTCGAATTTATCAAATTTGAAATTCAAATTTTATAAGTGACCTCGGATGAAGAAACTACCAAAATAAAAGTTGTAGACCTCGAAAAGTTATAAAATTTTGTAGTAGACAACTTTTTCATTTGAATTAGTTTAGGGCCTCAAACAATCAATTTATGCTTAGTTTTGTATAATATGTGGGGAACCAAAATGGATTATAGACACAAGTGATTGTGAGGTGCAGTGGTAGAGGAGTTTACGCGCAAGCGAGAGGTTGCCAACGCAAAGTGTGCAAAAATCGTGAAAAAATGATACAATGATAGAGTGGGTGGTGTGGTTGCCGGTGGGGACCTCATCAGATTAAAAAAATTGCTATTTTTTGCCCCTTTTTGTGATTTCTGGAAATTGATTTGTAGGGGCGATTTAATATACAATCCCTACAAATACATGATTCGTAGAGGCGCTTGGATAGGGGCGGCTGGGTAAACCGCCCCTACAAAACCTCTAGAGCCGCCCCTACAAATCATATATTACGTAGTGAGGGCTAGATAATGAGCCAACTCGACTCGGTTTGTATCTGAACTAAACAGCCCGCTTGTCTTGTTCACTAGCTCAAGCTAGCGAGCCAGACAATAAAAACCATGGAAATTATAATCTGTACATTTATCTAAAACTTAGGAATAGTAATAATGCAAAAGCAACTCATCTCTAAGCCTTGAATCAAATAAATAGATTAACAGATACTAACATATACAAATACAACAATACAGTAAAGTACTATACCATGTATCCATGATTCATGCTTCATACCATATCATGCATGATGCATCTATTAATGACTATCCATATATCCATTCAAAACAAAGTGATAGCATCATAATAAGTACACATTTTGAAAGTCCACGTCCAACTATCAACTAGTTGCAAAGTGGGAGACATCAAGTCATACAAAACTAATTAATATAAATTTAAGGCCAACAACTTTGGCTCGTTAGGTTCATGAGTCAACTCACGCGTTGGCTCATTAACTACATGAGATAAAATGCTAGCTCAACTCGTTGAAAAATACAAACGAGTGAAGTCGAATCAAGCCACTAACGAGCCAAGTTGAGCGAGCTATCAAGATGTTAGCTTTCGTCCAACCCTAGCCACAACTATGGGCTCCTAGGACACCCAATCTGGCGGAGGGTCAAGGGCGTAGAAGTACCCATGAATAGTGGCATCCTTGCCTACAAAACTTAAAGTTTGCATCAAGAGTACACTAGTGTACTTAATAGGACTTAGCCAATATAATAAACAAGAAATCATGCCTTTGGCATTAGGACGGAATAAGAGTTGGTTTTCCATAAAGGCATGCATACAAAAAGAGTAAAGTACTTTATACTCTACGCATTTGTATATAGTATGTTTAACAAGTTATAAGCAATAAGCAAATTGAACTCAATCTTCCGCGAATCGTTCCAACAAACTCTACTCCGAAGCAAGAAGATATGAACGACAAGGACATAATTCAAAAGCTCTACAGAGGGGTACAACTTTCCCCTCCAAAGACCATGATCAGAACCAATGACACGCATTGTTACTTAAGCAGTAACTTGAGCCTCAACCATTCTTGAGTCTGAGAAGTCTCCCATGAATGGTGTGATGGTGAGCAAAGGTACTAGCACCCCCAAGCAACCCTGTGCCCTACCACGTGCTGAATCCATGGGTTATCCAGTCACAATAACATACTAGGCTTACCATACCCATCACATGGTAAGTGGTCTGTACAAGTTATATTCAAAGACTCCCTACATTGGATGCAAGGTCCTTAATCGGCCCCAATGAGCTATGTCATTCAAGAGCACCCATGGATCTTGCCATGCCCAACCTCTTGCTGGTCCTTGAGTCAAGTTCATCATGTGGATCAAATTGTACACCATTGCTCAAATTTGATGTTGATTAGTCAACAAGCAATTCCTTAATGACATGAATTGTGAGAATCCATCATGAATTCAACTTCTACCATGTCTAAGCAAGTAAGCATGCATTATGTTCTAAAAAGTAAAACAATTAAAGATACAAAGCGTGGTGGAAACAATTCAAGGTCATAAGCTCAAGTAGGAAATGCGGGTCGCTAGTCATATTGTAACATAATGCACTACATAACAAAGTCAATTCAATGCAATTGTAAATGAGAGTAGGATACTTAGGAGCCTACCTTGGTACTTAATGGGGTGGTCAACTGCTTCATGCTCACTCGTGGGTTCAACTTCATTCTCAGGGTTCACCTCCTCAATTACTTTGACTACTATATGATGCAATGATATGAATGAGCAAATGCAATGCTTATGATAGAGGTAGGATGCAAACTAGATGTATGATCATGTATAAGAATCATATAACATTTGTCTAGGGTCATAGCGTACTTATACTTAGGCTAGGTGAAGAGTGTGTGTCGACTAGTCCTAGCGGAATTCTAGTATGAACCAATAGAGTGTCCACTAGGACCTAGGGACTATTCGTCAAGTGATGATGGACTACCAGTAAGGTCATGACCAAACTATGTAAGTGCTAGATGTGATAACAAATGAACTGTCTATCGGGGTGAGCACCAAAACACGCAAGGTGACTATACTTCTAGTGAAAAATGACTAAGTGTGAGATTCAATGGATTGTTCATCGATATGACAAGAGACTTACAGAGAATTTTGTCTCTAGGAAATCCTGATGGATTGTCCGCAAGGGCACCATGAACTATTCATCTACGCAAAGAAGCTATGCACTAAGTGATTCCATGGACGCGGAGTGCTTGTGCGGTTCTTGCATGTGCATGCAGCCTTGTGGGGGTGTTTCAAGTGTGCCATAGAACGTATCTATCATGGCGCATTGTGCCATTCTATCCTATCTCAATACTTTGGATATTTAGGTGATTTCAAAGCCATGAACTATCTATATTGGTATGTAGTTATCAAAAGAAAGATTGTGGTCCAGATTCAACTAACTAAAAATCAGAGAAGAAGAAAGTATGTTGGTCTTGGGATTGGATTGCCTCCTTGATCCTCGATCTTACCTCCTCCTTGAACTAACCCCCTTGTGCAAGGTATATTAACCTCTCCTAGCTCAATCCCAAGCAGCCGGGATGGTTGTTGTCGTTCTTAGGGTCTTCTTGGCTTCCTTGATCTCCCCTTCCCCTTCCTT